TTCAATGTGTGTAATGTTTGGGTAGTGGCTCCAGAGCAGCCTGCCCACTGGTGAGGCAAGGTCGACAGCTCTGTGTTCTACAACCTAGTGCTGACTCCTTTGAATGACTGAAACAAATCTTTACCGTTTCTCTTTCCCTTTGCCCTGCCCAATTCAGTATACCTCTGCATGCTTCCCCCCCCCCACTCAATGTTTCCTTTTGATTTCATTATCAGGGAAAATTTTCACTCATTTTCATTTTCACCAGTTTTAAGGTTTTAAGGATCTCATTTCAAGATCCACCAGCTCAGAAAACCACACATGACCATATAAAGTATAATCATCATAATAATCATCAACTACTGTCAAATAAATTCTGGTCTATGGTGACCCTTTCTAGAACTTTCTAGGTAGAGGATACTCAGAAGTGGTTTACCATTCCTTTCTTTGGCATCCTGGGACTGTTCTGCTTGCTCAAGGCTACACAGGTTGGCTGTTTTGGGATGTACACAGGGAGCTGAATTTTCAAACTCTTTTCTGCATCCAGATGCCTAAGTCACTGATCTTTCTAATCAGCATATAGAGTATAGACTGGCTCAACCCTTGCAGTCTGTATCACAGACCCTGTGCTTATTCCATTGTTAACAAAGTTCCAGCTTGCACGTTTTTTTAGGTTTGGAATGACAGCTATAGAATTCTCTCCTTGTACACAGGGAGCTGAATTTTCAAACTCTTTTCTGCATCCAGATGCCTAAGTCACTGATCTTTCTAATCAGCATATAGAGTATAGACTGGCTCAACCCTTGCAGTCTGTATCACAGACCCTGTGCTTATTCCATTGTTAACAAAGTTCCAGCTTGCACGTTTTTTTAGGTTTGGAATGACAGCTATAGAATTCTCTCCTGGTGGAGCTTGTCCATTGTTAAAGTTCCAGCTTGCACGTTTTTTTAGGGTTGGAATGACAGCTATAGAATTCTCTCCTGGTGGAGCTTTGCCAACCCAGTTTCAGATGGATTCTGAACATTATTAGTGTCACTGTTGGTGCTATATAGTTTTTATAACAAAGTTTGAAATTTTAATGCCAATTCATAAGTTTTTATGGTGATACATTTTTTTTTGTTTTTTTAGATATTGATTTTAAGTTGCCATTTTATGCTTATAAGACATTTGGGACATGTGACGTTCGCCCTTGTGCCCCTTGCCTGACCACTCCAGACACAGAGCACACAAAGGCAAACTACTACTCCTTTTCACCCCGCTGCCACCAATTGATCACTAAATCAACATTAATTATGGAGGGATGAAGATGCAGATCCAAGCTTCACTGCCTTTTAAATAAAACTTGTTTAATGGAGGGATGAAGATGCAGATCCAAACGTCACTGTCTTTTAAATAAAACTTGTTTATTGATTACAGATGATATTATTAATCATAGGTAACTTATGTTATCTTCAATCTCAACCTTCTATTTGTCATTACAGTTCTTATTCACTTTTCATTCTAATCACCTCAGATCTCCCAAAATACCACACTCTATCTCCTTCTCCACTCTCTCACTTGAAGATGCAGATCCAAACGTCACTGTCTTTTAAATAAAACTTGTTTATTGATTACAGATGATATTATTAATCATAGGTAACTTATGTTATCTTCAATCTCAACCTTCTATTTGTCATTACAGTTCTTATTCACTTTTCATTCTAATCACCTCAGATCTCCCAAAATACCACACTCTATCTCCTTCTCCACTCTCTCACTCTGACTCAGACTCTTACTGACTCCACTCTGTGACTCTGCCTCTTTATTACATATCTCTCTCGGCTCCGCCTCTCAGCAACATTAGCGTGCAACATGAATATTCATAACTACTTAACATAATAAGGGTGAACGCTACAGGGCATTTTCTTTTTCAACCAGTTATAAGTTAGGTAAATAAAAACAGTGGTGTCTGGGCTGTTCATGCAATTTCAGCAAGACATTTATGACGAAGTGACGGCCAGTGACTGTTCTGTCTGCTACTACAGTACTTGGCCTATAAATATTTGCTTATTTCACGATCACAGATGAGAACCAAAAAATTCACATGTTTTTCCCTATTGGACATGATTATGATGTTTTTAAAAATGTTTTTATATATGGGACTGTTGTTCTGAAAAATTGACTGGTGGGCTTTTTTGCTCAAAATACTATGTTTTGAATATGTACATTATAAGATTTTTGCACCCAAACCCCCACCTTTATGTTTTTTTTGTTGTTTTTTGCTAATTTAAAAAGTATTTTTTACTGTTTTGGAGAATCAAAAAATCTTGCAGGAAGCTTCTGCTTCTAAAAGATCCATGTAAACTACACAGTAGTGTTTCTGAAACTTCAAGAGCTTTGGAAGATGACACAGCGAAATAGTCTGCACATTTACAGTTTCCTGAACAGTGTAAGGCTGCCTTGAAAGTTTGAAGACGAACGTGGATGCTGGAAAACACTGTTTAATTTGTTTTAAACATACCCTGTGCTTGTTGAACAGAAACTTTTATGTTAAATTAGCACAATCTACCATGTTTCCCAAAAATAAGACAGGGTCTTATATTAATTTTTTGCTCCAAAAAACACATTAGGGCTTATTTTCAGGGGATGTTTAATTTTTTTCATATACAGTGCTGCCTCGCTTGATGATGTTAATTCGTTCCAGCGAAATCGCGTAGAGCGAAAACATCGTCAAACGAAACAAAAAAACCCATTGAAACGTATTGAGAGCCATTCAGTGCATTCCAATGGGCTGAATACCTGCTCGTCCAGCGAAGATCCTCCATATGGTGGCCATTTTTGGTGCCTGTAAAGCAAGGAATTCGTCCTAGAAAACAGTGGGGGGCCATTTTCTTCGGCCGGCAGCCATTTTGAAACCCGACGATCAGCTGTTTGCTAATTGTCGTAAAGCGAAAATTGTTTCCCGAAGCAGGGAACCGATCATCATTAAACGAAAAAATCCATTTAAAACATTGTTTTGCGATCACAAAAACCTAACCGTATAGTGATTTCCGCATTAAGCGAGGCAATCGTTAAGCGAGGCATGACTGTACATTTATTCAAATGCAGTCATGTCATCTTCTTGTTGCTGCACAGTGGTGGAGGGCAGGTTTTCACTTAACTGGGGTTATTTTGGGGTAGGGCTTACATGACGAGCATCCTGAAAAATCGTATTAGGGCTTATTTTCAGGTTAAGTCTTATTTTCGGGGAAACAGGATAATTACAATGAAAAGAAGTAGATAGCAGAAAAAATAGCAGAAAACAAAACATTAAGTGAATCTGGTTTAAATATACTGACTTAGAAACAGCTGCTGAAAATGGAAGGCAGAAATTAACCTTCCAAAGGATGCACAAGCATGGATTCCTTGCTTTTTAAATGGTTTCATTTAAAAAGTATTAGTTCTAAAGGCAAAAAGTAAAGCTACATTCAATTCAACATATCTTCATGTGATATAGTGTTGGATTTCTGAATTAGAAGACCATGGTTTACAGTTGTTAAATTTGATATTAATGTGAAAGGGGAAGAGGTGAAGACTCCTTTTTCAAAGAGTGAAACATTCTTCCTAATACAGGAGCTTCACCTGCTTTTAAAATTAGATACGCTGATCTGTGTCAGTCTTTCCTGGCATTAGAAAAGTCAAACAAAATTATTAATAATTCCTATGTGTGTTGATAGTAGTCTTTTCAAACTTAATTATTTAGAGTTAATGCAAACATGGCAAAGACAGTTAATTAAAGATAGAATTCTCTCAAGAGGCAGTGTTAATGAATAACTTTATAATGATAGAACGACATAGTTTTTGAATAATCTGCATTTCTCCATTCTCATTTATTATCAAGGTCCATATAAAATCATAGAAACACAGAATTTATAGAATAATGGAGTTGGAAGGAGTCTATAAGGCCATCGAGCCCAAGCCCCTGCTCAGTGTAGGAATCCAGTTCAAAGCAGATCTGAGAGATGGCTGTCCCAATTATCAGAATGGCTTTGACTTGGATTCCTGCATTGAGTGGGGGTCAGACTTGATTATAAGCCCTTCCAACTCAATTATTATAGGCCCCTTCCAACTAATTTATTCTATCAGTTCTATGATTCTATATGGACCTTGATTATAAATTTGAATGGAGAAGTGCAAATTGCTCAGAAATATAGTGTTCATCCTTTTTTTCCTTTCAGTAGCAGTCCATTTTTCCAACATCAAGCATGCTGAGCATGTAATAGCTGAACTCCTTAAAAGTTAAAATTTTGGGGTCATAAGGAACTATACCTTCTGGAGTGTCAAGATGGTAATCATCAAACGTTCAAACAATATTACTGTTATAGCCCCCAAGTGCTGAGCAGTACAGGTCACACTGGAAAGAGAATGAAAAATTGGTTGTTCCACTCTGCATGTAGGTGCATTGGAAAACATGGTCCTAAGAACTATGGCAAATGGATTGTGAAGAAACTTCTTTGTCTAGTTCATGGAGTGAGGCATGTATGAGAGAGAGCTGATTCAGTCACACATGGTCAAATGTTAAATCAAAGGCTGAAGTCCAAGAATCCGTATTGGTAGACAGGTACATGAAGGGAAATTATTATTATTACTATTATTATTTTTGTTGTTGTTATAAAATTCCACAGTAACTCCAATTATTTTATTTTAATTAGAATATTTTAATTTATTGAAAGAATTTAAATTTATTGAGTATTTCTACTAAGGCAAGAGCTCTCTGAATACAGTTTGCTGTTAGCCACCAATCTTTTTTCATTATGGCCAATGTTTTGTTATCCAATTCCCCTTACTTGTATGGAATCATACTGCTTAGCACATGAAAATAACAATTTCTGTATATCTAGATTGAAGATAATGATACACAAATTGTTGGCTGCTGCATATTAGCATGCCTGGACTTTTAAAAAATATATATTCTAAAGATTTTTCTAAGGAAAACATCTATGATCAACCCAGCCAAATAATACGTTTGCTTATCTTGTTTTTTTGTTTGTTTGTTTAAATAGGATGTCACATGTGCTCCATTTCGAAGACAGAACCAGAAAAGTAAAAGATGCAAGCGTGCAAGATGAAGACACTTTCGAAATCTATGACCCACGGAATCCTGTCAATAAGCGAAGACGAGAGGAAAGCAAAAAAATTCTGAGAGACAAAAAGGCAAGGAGATGAAATGAGTGTAAAACTAGCCAGAGCCAACTTGGAAAATGGACAAATGTTCTGGCTCTGTTGTAGCTGGCTTCCCGAAATATATCACTTACAAGGTGTGAAAAGGAATCTGGTGTCTAGTTTTGGAACAGCTTTATCTCCTTTGTTTTGTGAATTCTGCTGTACAGTAAGCTTGTGTCCCCAAGCAAAGCTTTCTAAAATCATTTTAGCTATTTTTTAAAAAGAATAAATAGTTCATTTTCCTTCTCAGTTTCTTGTGTAATTTGCATCGCTAAAGTAAAATGTTTTGTACTTACAGTCTGTCCAGCATAACAAAAAGTGGTTATAGAAGGTGATAATTTTTTAATGGCTCCCTGTAAGAGTGAACTCAGATCAGGAGGGCCAAGAAAGATGGAGCTATAGCAAGGGCAGTGGCAAGCAGGATGAAGCTATTGGTATACTCAGGGAAACAGCAAAATTTGCAGAAGTATGAAGAATATATCAGTCACAAAAATTCCTAACTGGGCAAAAGCTACTTCCAGACAGACCAGTGAATGTTGATAAGATACAACCAGTCGAAAAAGAAAAGTTGGAGTCCAAGTAGAATGTTACTTGGACTCTACAGTATATACCCTTATAGTGACCTGCAAGAGGACATAGCCAGCTGACTGGAATCTTGTACAGGAGCATTCCCTCTAGCAGTTAAGGACACAGACCATAACAGTTGGTTGGCATGTCCCACTAGTCTGCATTTTATTTAATAATCCACAACAAACCACTTTTATTATGCAGAGTACTTTACAATCTTGATTTATGTCTGTCCTCACAAACTTACAGGATCAATCACAAAAAATTAGGAAAAGGCCATGTGGTCCTTAAGATTAAACAAATGCAAAAGTAGGTGATACATTTATTAGACCATTAAAAAGTCAAACAGATAGCAAGCTTTCAGTTACCGCCTTTGTTATCAATCACACTTAGAAGTAAGTTGCACCAATAGTATTACACTTCTATGATAGTCCCCTCTATTTACTGTATGTCTGCTCTCTATTCTTTTGTCTTGTTAGTATCAGGAGGACAGTAGTTGGGGACACACACATACTTTTGTCTAGAGGGGCGGGATATAAATTAAATAAATAAAATAAATACATGATCAATGCCCTATCTGTTGAACTCCACAGAAGTGTACTATTGCTTTCTCTCTTTCTTTAAGCAAGTATATGTTACCTTACCTCCTATTCTCACCTCAAACCCATTTGTATGCTTAGAAACCAACACCTTTATACTAAGAGATGAGAAATGCCATATGTAATGCTTCTAGAAGCAAAGGATTGGGAATGAATGTGGCTATATAGACATAAGCAACATTCAGTATAGCTGCTGTATATACATTATCAGTATTTGATTAACATTCCAGTAGAGACAATTTATCGTAACAACACTTCTCACATTTTGAATCCTGAAAATGCTTCACATGCGTTATTCCACAGATCTATAGGAACAACCTTGTCATGTTGGCCTATATCATTTATCCCTAAGTTACAGGTAGGAGATTTCTGCCGAAAAGATACCAAGAGACCACTTCATCTTGTGGGTGAGTTCGGCTCTGACTCCTTGGCTCTTTGTTTATGCTTTTAGCCTCTGTGCTACATCAGCGAAAGTGTCATTTAGTTTGACTTACTGTTGAAATAAAATTGTCTGCAATTGAAGTGTTTGCTCATTTCATATAAAGCAAGGAACTGAGGCTGGAGACAGCTGCCAAATCAGTCTGCTACAGAACCCAAGTCTAAGTTGGACTGATTAATTTGTTTCCAGTCCATGACAATTTTGGATGTATTCATTTTAACCTTACCCTTTTTGTACCCAACATGATATGGTGGATAGAGTGATGGACTAAGGACACAGGAGGTCTGAGTTTGAATCTCCAGTCAGCTGTGGAAACTTACTGGAGGGTATGGAAACCGTAAGAACACTCCTTCAATATCTCATATCTTGAAAGCCCTACTAGGGTTACTATAAGTCAGCGATGGCGAACCTATGGCACACGTTTTCTAGGCCTTATTTGTTAGTAAGAGGCCTCATCAGTAGATCTTACAACATAAGAGGGGATATAAAGAATAATCTGTCTTCTGGTATCTGAAAGACTAACCCATTTGCTTGGCATAAACTTGTTAGACTGTAGCCCAGTTCTGAAAATGTCTGTGCCAAATCCAGTTTGTTAGTCTTTAAAGTACTACAAGGCCCTTTGTTTTCCTGCAAATTTATGAACAACAATGCAGATATCATGGAGGTGAAAGCTTTTATTGAATTGTATCAAAATGCAATCTGATAATTCCATGCACTAAACATTACACTACATTATTATATTCAGTACTATTTTAGTAAAAACCATATTTAAATAAATTCCAAGGATTTCAGTTGCACATGTTTTCAATACATAAACTGTGGCAAACTTTTCTTCCAATCAAAAATTTCTCATTATCACACATTACTGCTGATACGACTATATTATTCATGGCCAAAATCCTGTTGTTTAGTTAAACTTACAGAAGGCAAATGGTGTGACTTGCAGTAGCCTTTTGCAGCTGATCAGTACCCACTTGGATTTGGGGGCACATACAAGTCCAGTGGGTTGGCACACACCTGAAAAATCCATGTGGGGACTCAGTAATTGTCAGCAAGGAGCCACCGAGTTATACTATTTCCTTCCTGTAGACATAACTACACAACAGGACATGTGGCATAATCTTTCCTTTCTTTGGAACTAAAGGGAATATGCCTTAGGTTCCTAGGCAATCTCTCACTTGCCATAACAGATTTCCAATGTGGCTTATGTTGAATCAAACAGTTAAGTTTTCAGTTTTAGCTGATGCCTTTCTGCAATCTTGTAAACAATTAATAGATTATATGATATAACAATCAGGGAGAAAGTTCCTGATGAAATCCGTGTAAGACTTTGATGCAGTGTCTCTTCATTTTAAGGGTGGGAGGCTCATGCAGGCAAATGTTCTGATGGATGGGGCCCAATATATATTATGCACACATAAATTCTAATTGTAAGAGATGTCTCTTTATTCAATTGCCTGAACCAAAGTCATGTTAAAAGCTGAATTGCAACTTTGCTAGTGTTGTTTTTAGAAGGAGTTCAATAAGGTATCATGCTATGATAACGAAGTTTGTTGATAGGGTCTGACGTGTGATGTACATAAAACTGTCTCATCATGTTAATATGGTCCAAGTGGTGTGGGTTAATTTAGTGCTGAATATTGTTTAAATGTGCTGTGTAATCTCTCAAAGATAACAAGAAAGAAAAATGGAGGTGTGAAGAGAGTCCTCCTAAGAGGTTGTCACGATCCCCAACTTACATGTGAAGATACAAAGGAGTTAAAAGGAGGCCTGTTCTTGAGCTCTTATTTCACAAAGATGTGAAGTTCTCGTGTTCCTAATTTGCTGTTGGGTCAGGTTGTATTTATAACATACTTTTAAAAAAACACCTTCCCATCCACATTCCCACACTGACGTCTCTTCAATGTTCAACGAGATAGCTGCATTAGTCTGTCTCAGCATAACGAGGATCAAAAGTCTCTTGGCACCTTTAGACTATCAGGTCTTGTTTAGAATGAGTTTTCATGGCCTTCGGCCCACTTTTTTCCCCTTCTTGAACACAAAAAGAACAGTTTTATTTTATAGAAGCATTGTAAAATTATCCCTTTCCACAAAGTATCTATTTCCATCAACAAGTGATCTTAACCCTTAATCGTAAACAAGCTAGTCAAAAAATAACTTCCATTGTTCATTTTACTGGCTATAGATTCTACAGCATTTAGTAACTATGTTGTAGCTCCACTGTAACTTCCTTGTTCCAGGCAGATAAACAGCACAATATATTTCTGCTCACTGATAGGAAAAGCACCAGTTCTTACCCAAATGTATTCCACCCACTCAGCACAGATCAGCCTAGTTTAAGCTTTTCGGGCTTAACTAGGCCAAAAAAATCCATACAATTTAATTTAGATGGAGGAAGTAATTTTGTTATTATTGTTAAAATTACTGAAAATAAGAAATTCTTACTGATCTACTGCAAAAATCTACTGGTAGATCCTGATCTATTCTGCCCATCCCATCTTATATTTCCGTGCTCGGCAAGTAAAACACTGAACACGTGACTTCCTCATATTTCAAAGGCAAGACCATCAATAAAACCTGCACATTCCTGTACATATGTACGAAGATTTTACTTAATGTTTCTAAACAAGAATAGTGTATATTTAGTGGGGGAACATTGCATAAGAAATATTTCATGAATCTATTCTGTTGGCTTTCAAGAAGGCTGGTTGTCTTCACATTTATGACCACCAAGCTCTTTATGAATCGTACTATATAACTTCTGTATAGAATTCAAAGAATTTATTTCCTTCTTTGGCATTATACAGGCATTATTTTCCATTGTGATGTACATCTGTTTCAGGTCCTAATTATTATATGACCAATTATCTTTTGACTATGATTCAATTTAACGTTTTTACCTGGGCTCAGTATTATTAGTCAGGACTCCCTTGTCGCATAGCAAGAGGTCTTCACTTGCTTCAAAATACTGTACGGCAATACAGTACAGCCCTGCTGCATTAGTGGGACCTTCTGCTCATTTTTGCTGGCTGGTTTCTTTGATGGCATCAATGTCTTCTTCATCGTCTTTTTCACTGAAGCTCTGCATTCCTGTGATGGTACATGATCCGATGGTGGTGCTTATCACTAGTAACTAAATAGAACTGCTGGGTAGCTCAGTAGTTTAGCTATCTGGTTGGGAGTTCAATTCCTTACTGTGCCTCCTTGACAAGGGCTGGACTTGATGACCGTCAGGGTTCCTTCCAGCCCTGCAGTTCTAAGATTATTATAACTAAACAAAAGCTATCATAGTTTGACTGTATCATGAGGAAACAAGACTTACTGGAAGATAAAAATGCTAGAAGAGTTGATGGTAGAGATAATTACAGCCCCCTGCCCCTCATCCTAGTTTGAGTGGGCAGCTGCTGGAAAAGGTAGAGAAGAAATCCATACTCCTGCTGTGACTGGACAACCACTCAAAGAGCAGGTGAAGAGCAGTGCCTGCCAGCTAGTGAGTGGGGGAGCCAACTGGTGGGGTGGGTGAAGGGAACACACAGCACCTGTGGTACCACATCGACGAACAGGCACGAACCTCTGAACCAAGGTATGCATCCATCTCTAATTGATGGCTATAGGAAAAAAGAAGGATTTAACATGAAATGGAA